CCCTAAAGCAATAGGTAGACAAGTAAACAAGATAAGACTGAGTGAACAAGAGAAAGAAAAACATGCAAACAAGAAAAAAGAATATGCACTAGGAAAATAAAGTATTTATAAATATAGATGACAAAGCTAACATGCTAGCATGTTTAACAGGTGTAATGTGTAAGCCTACCATGTTCATCATCTTAGCACTACAGCACAACAAAGTACAGCTGGGGCTGATGGGATTGTCATTAGTTCTGCAGGTATTTGCAAGTAAACAAACTGAAACTGTGACCTGATGATGACACAAGATGAAGGTTTCCTCAAAGTCAATACAGTTTATCTTAAAGGTGGCTTGAATGTCTGCACTATAAGGTTCACAAATGTGGGCCTCATGGTGGCACTAGAGGAAAGGTCAGGGGACTGCTAAGTCTGTAGGCTTCATCCACCTGGGGATCATAAATGTGCCTGGAGCTAAAACCATGGTGTAGTAAAACAACACAAGCACAGGTTAGTGAGAAAAGCAAACTGAAAACACAGGTCACATATAAACCCTGCACTGTCGTCACCTGAAACTAGGAACTGGGGGAGTTCCACCAAGGATGTGAGGGTTGATGAGTCTGTCCTCGCCTAAAGAACAACCCTGTAGGTCATCTGTGCAAGCAGCCTAGTACCACACTTTAATACATTTTATTGTTTGGTGACCTTTAACAACTGTATTAATTATGACCGCGTTAAAGGTCTGTAGGGAGGAGGTCGGAGTGGAGAGATGGCTCAACAAAACACAAGACCTTAACATGGGACACTATGGTTCGTTTTCTCTATCAGACCTACTGTTTAGTCTCCACAGATGTTTCATAACCATAACTGTGTGTTTATTATTGTAACTGTCATGACAAAAGTCCGGTACAGCCAGTGCTTGTTGGGCCAGAACACACCGGTACACCGTACCGGCACTTATACATTTTAGTTTTTTGCATACTGAGACTTTTTCTTGCGTCTCCATCGGATTGTGAGAATCAATGCGTCTCACCTGGGCAGCAGACAAGAGCAGATGATGGGAGCGATGACAAAACGCTGCAGCCACGACAGACAGTTTAGGAGCTCTCTGCCAGCTACAGGGTGGGAGCCAGAGGGGTTAGCTCCCCCCAAAGAGGCCTGAGCTCCCCTAGTAGCAACAGAAAATGTTTTAATGATTAAATAGCTAAATATTATGATTAGCATTTTTACATTTTGTAAATTAAGACCTTTTTGTTATTTAGCCAATTAGGGGCAACACAAGCTGTAAATACAATAAAGTGAATACTGAGTGCTGGTACTTCTTTCTCCCCACCTCAAGCACTAGGGTAGGGCACTACTCCAGGAGACGTCTGTGGGTCAAGTTGTTTAGGTTGGAGGATTGTTGGGATTGCTGAATGTCAGAAATGACTCTGGTTGTCCTTTCATGGCTTCGTGGACAAAGTGGAGATGGTGCAGAGCAGACACAGGAGATGAAGCTGGGATGCAGAGCCTGACATTTTCAGTGAGAATCTGACCCAAGGGACGAGGAGGCTGTCTGAGCTGATTTTGTTCTGTGGTTTGTTTGAGCTTCAGTTGTTTCCCAGATCCAAAATGTCACAAACGACAAAGTGAGAGAGAGAGAGTGATTATTAGAGTAGAGTTTCTCACTTCTGTTCCTTTCTCTTCCTGTCCAGTTTGTTTTCTTATCTTTCACACTTTTTCATCTTCCTCTGGCTTATTTTCCTTCCTTTCTCTTTTACGCTGCTTTTCTCATGGCTTCTTTTTCTAGTGTCTCTACTTTCTTTTCTTTTTTTTTGCTGTCTGCTTTGCTCTACTTTTCTAAACCCTTCTGTCTCTTATTTCCCTCCTTCCTTTTCCAAGCTTATCTTTTCTACGACCTCCTTTCCTTCATTTTTACTTTCTTTCCTTCTCTGCTTTTCTACTTGCTAACTCTTAGTTTTGGGCTTTCTCTCCCTTCCTACTCTCCTAGCCTGTCTGTTCTCCTTCCATCATTTTCTACTTTCTTTCTTTCTTTCTTTACTTTCAGTGGTTAGTGCTGTTGCCTCACAGCTAGAAGGTTCTGGGTTTGAGCCCTGGCTGACCCGGGGCCTTTCTGTGTGGAGCCTTCATGTTCTCCCTGTGCCTGTCTGGGTTCTCGCCGTCTTCCTCCCACAGTCCAAAGACATGCAGCTTAGGTTGACTGGTGACTCTAAATTGGCCACAGAGTGAGTATGAGTGTGTGGTTGTGTGTCTACATGTCAGCCCTGTGATAGACTGGCGACATGCCCAGGGTGTAGACTCCAGCCCTCCACAACCCTATAGATAATGTATGGATGGATAGCACATAACATGAAATGCACAGGTGTGTTTAAACTGATGTGTGTCTGATGTCCTTGGTGGTCACTGGGGGCCACGGGGCTGTGTTCAGCACAGAGGCCTGCAGCTCTGCCTCGGGCTGCTCTGCTGCTCCTGTCGCTGTGTAATTAGCCACTAAACACCTCCCTCTTAATTATCTGCCTTCTGTGTCTCTGTCCTCCGGGTTTCATCAAACTCATTCACACTGGATAATGAAAATCACTGAAATCAGCAGCACTTTCTCAATTTGTCGCCTCCTGATTCAGCAAAGCAGAGTAAATCCTGAAGGTTCATTCAGAAATTGTCTGTAACTCCACAACTAACTCAGATTTTATAAAACATGTTATGTGAAAAAAAGAACCTGTTTATTCAAAGCACATGTTTGTAGACACATTAATTTAAACATCTAAACACCCTGTATTGTGACGCCTTCTAATTCTTCAATTCAGCAAGGACAGATCAAATGGAACTGAATAAAAAGGTTCAAGGTTCAAGGATTTTATTGTCAAATCACCATATGTGCAGGACATGCAGAAATCGAAATATCGTTTCTCTCTCACCTAGTATTGGGTGCCATAACATTTAGGAACTAAAATAGAATAAAGTCAAATAAAAATAGAATAGAATAAGAACTGGATTAACGTAATTAGGATCAATCTAAACGGTACAGCCAATAAGCGGTGACTCAAAACCGTGTGCAGTCAGTGACAGTAGTGCAAACAGTAATAGGAGATTGTCAGATGGTTCCGCATCACCAGGGCGTTGGTGATGAGGTGCAAATAGCATATGAGGTTTACATGGACAGTATGGCAAATGACCAACAGCAAAAAAACAGTCAGCAGCAGATTTACATATAATATAACAGAAGGTAAAACAGCAGAGGTAGTTTTTTTTTGTTTTGTTTTGTTTGTACTGAGCCAAGCAGCACAGGAATTTCGGTCGATCACAACCCCATGAAGAAAAGAGAAAGTCCAGATACCCTGGAGTCTAGACACTGGTGGTCGGGGAGCAAAGCCAGCAGGTGGTTGATGCAGGCCTCGGATGTGAGCTGGGACATCATGGAGATATGGTACTGACGGGGAGGAGGTGTGTTGTGCAACTGTAGAAAGACAAGGAGGCAGACTTGCAACAGTATTTAAAGAACAGCCCAAGACACAGAGGCAGAGATCACTGGTCAGATATGATGACGTCAGAACTGGAGGTGGAGGGAGATTTGACACTGTGGGGAAGTGATGAAGAGAAACAGATCAGGAGGAAATAGCCCACACTAATCAGAATGTGAGGGGAGATCTTGCCTAAACATCATATGTAGAAAATGGGAACTTCTTTTAAAAACCCATTATATAAAGTTAGAAGTAGAATACTATTTATTCAGATGCAGGTTTTTCATGACTTTGCTGTTTTGTCAGTGCATGACAACAGTACATAAAACTGACATTGGGTGAGAGGTGGGGTCCACCCTGGAAAGGCTGCCAGTCTCTCACAGGGCTGACATGTAGACAAACAACCACACACACTCACTCACAGGGGCAATTTAGAGTCTCCAGTCATCCTAAGCTGTATGTCTTTGGACTGTGGGAGGAAGCTGGAGCACCAGGAGAGAACCCACGCAGGCACAGGGAGAACATGAAGACTCCACACAGAAAGGCCCCGGGTCAGCCAGGGCTCAAACCCAGAACCTTCTAGCTGTGAGGTGACAGCGCTAACGTGCTGCTGTGCTGCCCCCTTTATAATAACAACAACAACAGCAGTAACAACAATAATAATAATAATGATAAGGTCTAGACTTTACCTCGTAAAGTGTCCTGAGATGACTTTTGTTGTGATTTGGCGCTATACAAATACATTGAATTGAATTGAATTGACTGCTATAGCAGTTCAGTACCACTTGTCAGCTCTGATTCTATTTACTTATTTAGTGTTGGTGTTGTATTAAGTGTGAGAATGTACTATATTCATTTTATGTGTGAGCCAACGTGAATAACACAGATGACCTCTGTATAAATTACAGGTGGAGTGTCTGCACAAACATTAACAGGGATCATGGGTTGAGACCAGCTAACAGTCACACACACACACACAGTCAGACGTGCACTGCTGATATTTCTACTGAAGTCAGTGTAACCTTTGTCTCAGCGTTGTTTCCCATGTGTTTGTCTATAACCAGTAACTCGGCCAGTGTTGCACCAGGTTTGTGATGTCAGCAGAGGGCAGGTCAGTCGGTTTCGAAGGCTGTAGGTCTGAACCTTTGTTGAGAGAAAAGGCCTGAGGCTGCTCTGTTGCTGCTGTCACCGCATAATTAGCCACCCAACGCCTCCTTTGTAATTATCGGCTTCTGTCTCTCTCGCTCTCCCCCTCTCTCCCCCGCTCTGCGCTCTCTGCTCCTCTCTCATCATTTACATGTAAATCGTTCATTTTGTTTTATTCCCATTTGCTGTTGTGTGTTTGGTTTGTGTTACTGCAAATGACTTCTGTGCTAGTGTCTAAGTGTATTTAGATGATCTATCAGATTGTCTGTCCATTTAAATATTCACTGGTATCTTCATCTCTTCAGTTCAATTAAGCTTTATTTACACTGGTATTAATCACTGTTGCAAAATGTATCACATCACAGAAGATTAGAATTTAAATAACTGCTCAATAGTAGAAACAAATTAACAGCTCATATCATTCAGAACATTTTTGCCCACTTCCCTTAGCGTGTGCCAGCAGCTCATGATTTGAGGGATATCTAAGATTTATTGTATTTATTCAGATGTGTTACTGACATCGCTGTCTTTCCCATCATCTTTATTATTCTGTCTCTTCTAAGGGGAGGTGCTGGTATCAGAACTGTGACGGGCTCAGTTAGAGGCATTTGGAGTCATCTCTGTCTGATTTTACATTATAGGGCTTAGTCACACCAACATTCATTACTGACTGGAATAGAAAACCACTTGCTGCCTGCGAGGTGAGATGTTGCGCTGTTCACACCTCAACCTTGGTCAACTTTAGCACACAAATCATTGTCTTGACCTCACTTTTGTTGAACAATCATCCAGTAGTCACTATCTTCCCCACTGTCTCTCTTGTTCTACCATCTGTTTCTGATTCTCCACATCTTTCTCTCCTGAGTTGGCCAGTGCATAAAAGTGCTATATAAATACAGTCCATTTACCATTTACCATTTGAGTTGTAGAGGTTGAGATTCGGACCATGTCTGGAAAACAGATCGCAGGCAGACACAGACACAGATTCTCCTTTTTTAAAGATGGAGGGAATAGGCTGAAGCAGATTTAATCTCTGAATCTCTGTGGGAATCACTTGTAGCACACGCACTCACACGCACCAAACAAACTGGTTTGCTGGCATGTACAGACACACAAGAGGATGCACAGCCGTATATTGATTATTTTGTCCACAGCTTGACAAGATGTGAGTCATCTGAGATGAGTCCTGATGTTATCAGGACATCAGGGGATACCCAACATGCATACACCACCACAATCCCTCTCTCCAGTGTGGCTTCAGACAAAATTCCCATCTGGATTAAAGCTAATTAACCTTATCACATTGTCAGTTAGTTTATCCAGCCCTCCATTACCCCCAGAATGCCCTGTGTGCAGGATTCTAGTGATCCCTTGAAACAAAATGATTTTTGTTTAGTGAGCGGGACACAGGAAGGGAAGTAGTGCCATGACCTGCTAACTGAACCGATCGGGACCTTCTGTTCGAGATTATGTGATATCTATGACGATATAGTGTGAACATTAATATTGAGAACAGACTGTAACCTAAACTTGGAGATAAAAAGTCAAAACTTAAATGTATTTTTTACAGTGGCCCTAATCCTCTTCCATTCATGACAATATTAGGTATGAATAGAATTTAATAATTTATGTTTTTAAAGTTCAAAACACTAGAATGTGCATTTGATACCAATTCGGATTTATAGATCAATACAGAATTGCAAAAAATGAATTTTTTCTTAATGCCAATGTTTCCAATACCAATAATTTCATCTTCTTCCACTGTAACCTGTCACCTTCTGTAGGTGATCGTTTGGGGCAACTATGGACGGATGGATCGCAAATGCTTCATGGGCGTAGCTCGAATCCTATTGGAGGAGCTGGACCTCAGCACAATGGTGATTGGCTGGTACAAGCTTTTCCCTACCTCCTCCATGGTGGACCCAACGATGGCGCCACTCATCCGCCACTCCTCTCAGATGTCCTTGGAGAGCACTATCGGACCCTGCTGTGAGCGATCCTAAGACTCACGCAAAAATATTTACTTTCTGTTGTTGTTCCATTGCTCAGCCAAGTCCTAAGACCCATTTTTATATACCCTGTAGCCCTGAACCCAGGTCAGCCAGGTGGCACTCTCTCTGGAGCAGGTAGGTGTTAAGTATCATACTCAATGGCACTTCAACAGGTCCAGTCACACTGGGGAATGAATCACTCCCCTGACTGGGAAATGACTTTACAGACCAGTAGCTCACTGGTAAAGTGCTTTAATTCTTTTGATACTCTATGAGACTGTTTCCCAAGACTTGTGGGAGGCACGTTTCTTTTGCTGTTGCAACCGACCGCCCGTGAGACTCACAGGAAGATTTTGCTCTCTTTGCATCTCTTTGATGAAAAGCAAAAACCCACTTAATGAGGAAACTTGAAAGGAGGGCTGTTGCAGACATTGATCACATCCTATGGGAACCATAATACACTGCAGGCTCCGCTTTGCTTCAGCTACGCACCTTCTTCACAGCCTACCTTCGAGTCTCATACCCAGGACTCCCATTGTGCAGGAGCGTGAGGGATAGCAGGTTGTAGATCCGTGCACAGCTGGACTAAAGAGGATGTTCAAGGAAAGAATGAAACGTCTTTCTTGTTGGGTTTGAACACTGAAATGAGATGTTTTTGTTTTTTGTGTCACATTTTGCCCTTCAGTGTTCAGTTCAATTGTTACTATGTGTACGCAAGTGAGTAGGCATGACAAAAATCCCCTTTCACATTCTGGATTGATCTAGACTTCTACCCGATTTTAAATCTAGAGCACTGCTGGCTTTCTGTCCTACCAGGTAGTCAGGAGTGTCTAAATTAAATTTGTCGGTTATAATTTTGTATCTGCGTGGATTTATATGGCGTTTAACCAGATTCCAAGTTCCCAAAGCCCATGTTCCATTATGCTCAGAGCTTGTACATTTTCATTGCAATTGATGACAACATTAGCTGAATTTGCAGATTATTTTGTCATCATTGATGTAAAGCGCTCATTGGTCAAATCAGCTGTTGTTGTGCTTGGCAAGAATGAAAACATGCAGCCTTGTGGGTTTTTAGAAAAACTGATCTAAGACTCCATTTTACCTGGTTGTTTCTGAACCTGTAGCAAATGGATTTCATTCAAATAGAGATCCCCTGCTGACGGGAGCTGGTGTAAATACACCCAACATGCATGGTTTAAGATTCAATTGCCTGAAACTTTTAGGGAGGTCATTCTGTTTTAGCCAGATTTGGTACAAGTGTGAACACGTGTGTCTACAATAGAGATGCACTGATCAATCAGCAGATATCAGAAATGGATGGTTTTTAGTGCGATCGGCTGGTCACAGGTCAAGGCCAATCACGATGAACACCGGCCATTACCACGATGTGACCGGTGACCTGTCGATCACTCTGCACAGCCATTAAAGATACATCCCAAATGAAACCATGGCATGCACATGTGATTAGAACTCGAAGCAGCATGTGACTTGCACATCTAGATACAATGTGGTTAAATGTTATCAGGATACAGTTTCCACTGATATGAACCGGCCAGGTGTAAATGGGGTCTAAAATTTGACCATGTTTGTTTCACTTTTGTTTCACCTGGTAGTGCAGGTCACACCAAGTGCAAGGGACAGTTTTCTACCTGGGCTCCAGCACTGGCACATGGCACTAATCCAGAAAGACAAATGTTTCTCAAAGCATTGAGGATAGTAGCCTGGTTGACAGCGTGGGGCTGCAAACCTGTTGTATATCCCAGTTTAATTACAGCTCAGTCTTCTTTAGATAAAACTAGAAATAGATTTTTGAGTTTTCCTCCTGTCTCTTTTTCTTTAGCATTGGCAAAAAATTGTTTAATAACAGTTACTACTGTGCCAGTTTCTACCAGCAAGTGTCTTCTCCTCCCTCTTCTTCAGATACCTTGTGGCATGTGCCATTGTGAGGGAGAAACAGAAAAAAAACCACTCACAGCATCTGACAGCAGTATTCAGACTGCAGAGGAGCATCCCTTTGTTCTAAATTACAGCCCTAATCCAGAGACGGCCACCGCACCTGGTGATTAGCTGCGACTCAGTGTGGAGGGAGGAAGACGAAAAAGAGAGAGGATGGAGGCATGAAATGTTCTTTGCATCATCCAAAAGAAGGATCTGCCTGGACTGACATCAGGTTTCATAGATTTCAAACATGGACACAATAGGCAGCACAATGTGCACACTGTAGAGAAACGTATAGTTTATTTAAGAACAAACATATAGTATTTCATTTGGGCACTTTATGATTCTTACTGTCTTTTTGTGTGTAAATATTATGGTTGTTAGTGTCTTTTGGAGTGAGCCAAATTTAACATAATGACTTACAGTAGATGATAAATGTTAAAACTCTGAGGGAGGGAAGGGATATCCTCGCTAGTTACTGTAAGATTGTAGCATTAGCTGGTAGCATTCGCATGACTGATTAAAACTAATAAGTTAGCAGGCCCTTGAAAAGACAAAGCATGAGCTACATGCTACAAAGAAAAAAGAGAAGTTAAATAGGGTAAGTTGTGTTGACATCCATCATTAATTAAGAAAAACATAAGTATGTAGCAATTTAATGCTTATTTTTGCCAAGGTGACTGAATTTCATTTTGGGCTCTGTTCTTTCACGGATTAGAAAAAGAAAAAAGTCTGTACTTTTACTTCTTGTTTTATCTTCAAGGAAAGATTTCAGAGCAAAATGGAATTTCTCTTAAACACATCAAATAACACTTTAATCAAACCATATAATTTGGAGTAATTTTACTGTAAAAAAAAAAACAAAAAACCTTTCAAATGTGGCCTCTGTTTTGCCAGTAGCAGTGTTGCAGGGATATTAATACTCTATTTCCAAATTGTGACATTCTGTAAAGCAATAATCAAGACAACATCCGTCATTGCAGCTTTTTAGTTGCTCAGCACAAACTGGAAAATGACAAACGTAGCCAGTGGTTTTCACCTCTTGTAGCACATAACATGTTTTTGTATATGTCTGGACATATAGGATTCCAAAATATTTATTTCTTTGACACAAAACCTGAATACAGAAAGTGAAAATCGCTTGTTATGCTCTGTCATTTTACTGCAGCACATTCATGCCTTCTTGTTTCCACACCTGATTCCAGGGAGAGCGTCACGTAGTCTCTGAGGAGCTCTGTAAAACCCAGAAGGTACAGTAAACCCAGTGTAATGCTAAAGTTTCTGGTTTGAAAAATGTGGGGTCACTTTCGCAGCTTACATTTTCATAGAGTAGCATGGATTTGAATCTGTTGCCTGCCTTGTAATTAGAACAAAATGCTTTTGACAAATGGAATGAATACGAGTTAGAAGAGCTTTAGCAATCAAAGATATGCATATACAAGTATATAAAACATGAAATGGCTCCTCGACTGTGACCCAAGGAATGTATTTTTGTCTTGTTTTTTTGTGCCAAACTGTAAACCTATTTCGAGGGCTGATTTCCCAACCCAGGACCAATGAAACATGAATGTTTACATGTTTGGCATTAACACACAAAAAAATCTGCAAACCCATAAAGCAGAATTCCAGTGTAAGAAAATAGCTTGACATCCAAGAGCAGGGTCTGTGTAGCTGAAGCAAAATGTTGCATGATAATGAGCTGAATTTATTGCAGATCACACTGAGTTGCAGTAGTAACCATCATAGAAGTTTCCCATCTAACCTGCAGCAGCTGCCTGAACAACACATGCTTTAATGAACCTTAAAGAACTGATTGATTTTTTCTACCACTGAATACTTTCCTAACAGTTCCTGCTGGAGGTGGAGCAGCAGGTTTTCTCTGATGGTTACATGTGCAGCCTCTGGCATTTGTGTGAATTTGGTGTAAAAATCCACACAAAAGAAAGAGAGACAAAATATATGCCAACATTGCTAGCAGGATTAAGAGTAATTATTGTTTGTTTGTTAAAACTGATTGTGTAACTCTGCTCATCAAAAGCTTCTTGTTCACTTTGTAACTTCTTGTTCATTTTGTAAGGCAAACAAATGAGCTAATGAACCCTGTAGATGTTATACGGTAGTTGATATGTTCAGCACCAAAAATGTCCGTCTCTGAATTCCCCCACGTTGTCAATGTGTCTGCCACGTGGATGTTTATTATGTGCTACTATCAATTGTAATGTAAGTAGAGGCCTTAAACACATCTATATACATTTTGTCAGGGCTAAGGACTAAGAATTTCACATAAAGTAAATCACAACAGTGCAAAAACGTTTTACAGTGTCACCATTCCAGCCCATTACTTAAAGTGATTTAAATGATTATCTTTGTTCATAGTGAATTTCTGATATACTGATATTTCAACAGACTGTGTTTTCTTCCCACTCGTTGGCGTGGGCTTCACTGAACGAAGCGAGCAAAAAAAAAAAAAAGCACTTTTGCAGCGTAGATATTCAAACATTCTCATCTGTTTCGGGACAAAACCTATTTTCTAAAGTTATGTTGCTGTTTGAATGCACACAGCGGTGCTTTATGGTTTCAACTGAGCAGAGAGAAAAATTACAATTGAACCATCTGTAAGAATTTGTACTGAAGGTCTGTCTGGGTCCTTTTCCATCCTCACAGCCTTTTAGGTTCTTGTACTGCAAAACCAGACATTTCTCCATAATTACTATTTGGTTTCACGGCACCATAGGGGGCATTGCTCAAGATACACAAAGAAAATTTTAGGAACATTACATATATTAAGTGGTTTATTATGCTGTGCGAGTGTAAAACTAAGATAACATGACTGTCCCTACATTTCCTCTCACGTGACACTGACCACGTGTAGCCACTGTGAGTTTCCATGACTGAAGTCATTTAGTGAAGCAGGTGGACTCACACTGTAGGTGCCTGAAGTATTCTTTCCTAACTGTAAATTCACAGCTGAATCAACAGATCAGTAGATGATATATACAGGTGATCAAAAACAGAGAGGTAACATGCAACCAAATCTAAAAAGGGCATAACTTTAACTTAAATCACTCATGTCTTTTTAAACTATGTGAACTGGTGGAACTGGCTCCATGGTTCTTCTGTATAACAGAAATAGATATAGTCTCCTTAGATTATTTCAATGAATGTTGCTCAGACACTGAAAAAGCCTTTCAGGCCTTCTTGGACTTCTGCATTTTTGTAGACCTGCCCTGCTGCTCTTCTGATTGGACAAAAGACGTTGCAGTGACTGCGAGCACACAGCTGCTCATAGTTTAGCTTTTTCTGAATTCAAGGAGCCCCTCCAAAATTGTGAGACAGGCCAGGCAGACATGTGAGGAGAGCATGGATAGTGCACAAAACATCTCAAACACTTTGAAAACCATCTGACCAAAAAGAATCAGGGCATAAGAACTTTGTCTCCTCTATCACTCATTTACTTTCCTGTCTGCAATACAAACACATTTTTCTGTGCATGCATATACGATCATGTTGTTTTGGTTTTACTGAAGTTCAGTAGACATATTATTCACACCAAGAGTGCACAGGCAAAGCCACACGGTTTCTGTTTTTGCAGAAGATCAACCTAAAAGTGAATGTGTTGGGTTCCCTTCTCTCTCCTGATCTTAAATCATCCAGATCTTTTTCCTCTTAAGTTTGTGGGTTTTACTCATTAGGAGGAAGGGGAGTACTGTTTGTGTCCTTTTCTTTTACAGTGACAGTGTGTATATTTCTAGACATATCATGTTCTGTTTGGGGGAAGAGGCAGAGGAGTGGGAGGATGAAGGGGCCCCTGCAGCTCCTCTGTGGCTGCTGAATCCCAAAAGCAACACATTTTCTCCAGTCTGCTGCAGATCCCTACCTTTTCTTTTTTCCTTGGAGGCACTTCCCATCCCAGTCCTCAGACGTTTCCCCACATGCCATCTGGTAGATCCTGTCATACAATGTCCCACGTTGCCACGAGTGAATACATGTTCAGGCTGGGGGAACCTGTGAGAGCCAAAGTGCCGTGAAGTTTTGTATCCTGTGCTTCTCAGCACTGCTCTGATAAATTGACTCTTCCCTTCTCTCTGTGGGTTGATATTTCGGCCTCAGTACTGATAATCAGGCTTCACTGGTGTCAACACAGCACAACACTGCTCAACAGACTCTCCTTTTCTTTCTCCAGTGAAATGAAGCCATTTTATCTGCAGCATTCACAGCCTTAAATTCTCATCATTTCAGGCCTTTTGAGAAAACTGCACATTTTCCTAAGGCCCATAAAATGCTATGTGAAGCTCATGTTTTGGTTTTGGGATATGAAATGAAACAGGCTTCCTCATGCTGTCAGGAACACGTGATATGGGCAAGTTTTGGAAGAAATGCTGATGGAAAATCACCATTTCTCACTGGTCAGTGTGTATCCAGGGACAGTTTGCTACAACTTTATTTACCTTTAAACACATTCAACATGAGCTATTCTATCCTTCAGCCACTGAGGAGCTTTATTCACCTGACTTAGGTGCATTTGTTGATCGATGACACCTCAGCAGCAGCAAAAAGGAGGAGTGTCTGTTTAAAGTCCACATTTAAAGAATTACTTAGCCATTTATTGATTTCAAATTTCCATTTACAAATATACTGTCATTTTAAAAACTCTTCATCCCATCTAGTGTCAACAAATGTTAGCATTAACTGCTGTTAGCAATGCATTAAGCAGCCGACGTCCACCCGCATTCCCTTCCATTTCTTGCTCATGTTTTACAGCCTGAGTCTTTTCAGAGAAGTAACAGAATGGCATCACTTTAGTTTTATGCACCGTATTGTCATTTAATACACAAGTATATTTGCAGATTATTTGGCAAACTGTTATATTATTGAGTAAATGCACAATTTGGTGTATTGTTATTCTATTCCACCTGTCAATAAAACAGTTGAACTCCATCATGTGTTTCATTCCTGGTGAGGTTATCGTGTAAGAGACAGCAGAGACATCAGCTATGGACTCACGGATATGTTGTTGGTGACGTTTGATAATAACTGTGACCACATCTTGGAAGCCAATACAGTAGTACAACTTTATTTATCTTAAAATGTGGAGAGGAAAACCTACGAACATGGTTCAGCATTCACTCACTGGAGTATTAATGTTACATTAGTCTTTAGCAGGGGTGAAAGTAACTGAGTACATTTATTAAAGTACTGTACTTAAGTTAAAATTTGAGGTGTTTATATTTGAGTGTTTTCCTTTTTTGCTACTTCTTACTTCAACGTCACTACATTTCAAAAACAAATATTACACTTCTTACTGCACTTCATGTGTTTGAAAACTTAGTTTTCAATGAATCAAACTAAACACCGTATAATTATATTGATCCTTGATGAGAAAGTCAATATGCAAAGTACCACAAATTAGAAGTATATAAGGTAGCCAACTTTAGCTCCACTTTTACAGTATCAGCTGCAATACTAAAGTGATGAACACAATCCTGAAACCATAATTATAATCCAGTAATTCAATGTTCACTAATGTGAAATGTACCATGATGGCGGCTTTTACTTTTGCTACTTAAAGTATATTTGGCTGTGTGAAGGCCTCAGCCCCAGCCTTCACCATGTGAGGGCCTACACCACCACCAGCAGCAGTAGAATTAGCTAGGTACTGTTCTTGTGTTTTCTTTGTTCATGTGTGTAGATTTAAGTTGCAGGTAGGTATTTAATTTGACATAGGACATATATAAGTAATCAATGAAGCATGCACATTTGGACTGAAGCAGCAGCAGGTTTAAATACCTCCCAGAGGCCTGGACTGCACCAAGTGCCCCATAGAAGGGAGGGGGAAGTTTGGGAGAAATATGTTGTTTATTTGTTTATAGTTTATGTTAAAACTTTATTTGTCAAGTTGTGGGTTTTTTTTCACGTCTAAAGACAAATCTTTAGTTGTTAGCAGACTGTCTGCTCAGTGTTTATTGGTAGAATATTAAATAGCATCTTTGTCCACCTGGAGCTGGATGCCTGTCACTTACAAACATGAACTTGAACCATCAACACAAAAAGACTGGACCAGACTTAAAAATCTACATGTAAACATGTCATTAAAAGCAGGCACTGTGCTGTATATGCAGTCTGTGCTACAGGCTGTCACCAGCTCAATAACCTACCAAACCTTTATGGGAACGGATAAGAAAGCAAGAGGAGGAAAAAAGACTCGGGGGAAGGAGGAAAAATAAGGATGGGGAAGAGAACGAGATGGGGAGCTGGAGGAAGAAGCAGAGGAGGGAAGGGATTCATTTATTTTGACAGTCAGCAGCTAAGGATGACCAAATATGAAGCTTTAGCATGGCTGTCTAGGTGGAATTCTCCCTCTCTCTACACCCTGGCTGTTGTATTTTTACCTGATTCCACTTTCCTGTCTGGCTCTTCTCTTCTCATTGTTTTCTTTCCCAATGTCGCCTCTCCTTACTCTTTTCCTCTCTTTCTCCCTTCTTCACTCATTACATCTACCTGTCTCTGGCTCTGGCTCAGGTCCAGACTCCCTGATGACCAAACTGATCAGCTTGTGCTAATGTCTCTCTCTCTCTCTCACACACACACACACACACACAGACACACACACACAAACAATTGCATGACAAGAACACAGGTCACATTAGGCAGACACACTCACACAAGCAAAGGCATGACTTGCATGCACATGGGTAGACAGGCAGACAGGCACCGCATCACATGCTCACACACAAATACAAGTGCTAGCGTGACTCGAATGCACAAAGACAGAAAGACAAATTCGCACACTGAAATCGGATGAAGCAGCTGGAGGCCCTCAGATGGTGCAAATGCAAATTATGACATAAATGCTTTTCTCCACAGGGGATGATATGGTTCCAAACTACAGCGTGCTTGGTAAAGCCCCTTTTCCCCCTCCTGTTGCCAGCTCGACTCGACTCTACTCACCTTATTTGTTTTTCCATCAGTCAAATGTTGGGGATAGTACCTGGTACTGTTTTTAGTACCACCTCCTTTGAGGTTCCAGGCCAGCTGATTGGTCACTACTATGTGGTGATCTTGCCACTGATGAACCCAGATGTTTACATGTGATGACACCAATCGCTCGTTCTTCATTCTATCTTAATAGTAGCTGCCACTTCTCTCTCATGAGTGTTATAAAAAGTAAAAGTTACGGTCAAAGAGGCCTTGAGCCTCTTGTTACTATAGAATATAACTGTTATGTGATAATACCGCCACAATGGCCTGCTAAGTATAGCTAGCTGGAACGTTAGCGGGTCATCACATCTCTGGACCAGAAAAACTATCTAAACTTTATAAAATGGCATAATAACGCTCCTGCCAGTGACTTCATGGCAGTTTTGGCATCGCTATGACAACCAGCTGCACTGTGTGGGAATTACAGTAGAAAACAAAACCGAGTAGAGCTGAGTACAGTGGAGTCGAGTTGAGCCGGTAGAAGGAGGTGGAAAAGGGCCTTATAAACACTGACGTACAGTATGTATGAAGGAGTTGTGCTTCGAGACAGACACTCCTGGAGGGCTCCCTACTGCATCGTGTGTTGTAACAGGACATTTTCAAGAATTTTAATTTGTACATAAAAGGGGGAAATGAAAATATATGGGGCTGGACTTTGAATCATTTCCAGGGTGCATTCTGAAACTCCAGATATGTCCTCTACCATTCTCCCTCTGTGTCCTTTGCTTCCCTCCATCCTCCTTTTGTCCTCTACAGTACCGTACCTCTTCTTTTTCCCCCACCTCATATATTCCAACTCTACCTTCCAGTTCTCTTTAGTGCTGTTCTCCTCTGCCTCCTCTTTCACTTCATTAGGCTTTGCTCTCCTTTTTCCACTTCTTCTTTTACCAACTGCCTCCTCTCCTCATCAAATTGTCCCTTTTTCTCCTGATCTGCTCCTCTGTGTAAGTCAAACCAATTACTCTGCTACCTCCTCTTATCCATTGTCCCTCCTTTGCTCCACTACTGCCACTTTTCTCCTCCACCGCCAACTCTCCTCTTTTACTGCCTCACTTCTCTTTTTAAATTTTCACCTGGATATGCATGTTTTTCCTCCTCTACCCTTTTTATATCCAAACTATAACATTTCAAAAAATGTAAAAACTACCTGGGGAGATTTGACTTCATAAATGTCCGTGTTAATTTATTTAACATATAAAGTGTACATTACACTGCACAGTCACAAGGATTTGTGAGGATCCCAGTGACCCAAAAATGTATGACATGTATAAAACATATCCTATTACCTAAAGTATAAAACTGCATGCACAGCTGCTAGCTTTCTGTTCTGTTGTATGCTAGGGACTTAAGGAGTGCTACCTTTTAAGATCTTTAAGTCACACTCCTGCACCGTTCTGTGGCATGACTGTGTCACATTACTTCAGAAGGTGGCCCCTAGTGAAAACATGCAAACATTTGAACTGACTCAGATGTCTTCAGGGAGCTGTGTTCCTCGTTTTGGTAACTTTCTGAAAACCATTAATCCAACCATCACTCCCAGTTTACACAGAGTTGGCCAGGTGAGGAAGTTTGAAATTGTCTCTCAAGCTTTTTTTCTTCAACAAACTATGTCCATCAGTGTTCATATTAGCAAACTAGGTGCAATGTCATGAAAGACTTCAGTGTGCAACTGTCCTACAGTGAATGCTGTAATTCCAAGGAATTATCTGCGACTGTGGTTCGGTGGGTAGAGCAGTTGTCTCCCAACCGACGGGTCGGAGAATCGGATCTCGGTGCCTGCAGTCCACGTGTTGAAGTATACTTGGGCAAGACATTGAACCCCCAAGTTACCCCCGATGGTTAGAGCCATCGGTTGAGTTGGCGCCCCAGATGGCTGCCTCGGTTCAGTGACAGATGGCAATGTCTTTCAAATATGAGGTTTAAGAAAAGTTGCATGAAGCCCTAAAGGATACTGTGCACAATGAATTTTATGATAAATGTTAAGGGGTCACTGGTAGACTAGTGGCTAGGATTCAGCACTCTCGCCACTGCGGCCCGGGTTCAAGTCAGGGTTGCATCAGGAAGGGCATCCAGCATAAAATATGTGCCAAACTTCATCATTCAAGTCGTCAGGGTAACGATTCGCTGTGGCGGCACCTAACAGGAAAAGCCGAAAGTTAATTATTTTTTAAAATGTAAATAAAACCATTTGTTTTTGATGAAACTCACATACAGCAGTGGAAAAAGTGCAGTTTTCAATATTTTTTCACATTAATATTTAAAAAGTTTTTCTATTACAGTTGTGATTAAGCCACTTTAATCGTCAGCAGACTGTCCCAGCTCTTTAGCCCTGACTGTCCCCTCACTGCTCCTGTCCTTCTCTTGTCTCCTCCAGGGGACACTCTGATAGTAGTGATCTCAGTGATCTGCCACCAGTGTCTGGATCAACAGCTACAGAGGCCACAAGGGCGTAAGACTGTCTCACTGCAGCATCATCAACTGCTTAAGGGCTTTAGCATGAACTACTGGAGACTTCCCCCAAAAAATTTAGCAAGTCTGCAGCTTTGTAGATGTTTCAGAGTGGCTAGGCCATAATCCACTGCAGTAGTGACATCGGTAAACTGAGGATACTGGGAAAGCAGCCAAGAAAGAGAAGCATTAAGGCAGGTGGAAACATAAAGTTAAACCTACAGCTATAAAACCCTCTCCTACATCTTTTATTGCTCATAACTTTTGATCTTCAGACAAATGGTTTATCATATGACTTTTTATAACTGGCATTACGTAGGAAAAGATGGCTGTATTGTTTATGACTGGACATCTTGGGGCAGTGTCACTGTGACCAACATTATATTTAATATCACAAAGCATGTTTCCTTTCATACTGTAAGTGCCAATATTATTACTCTGACCTGCTGAATTAAGATAAAAAACCTCTTGAGACATATACAGCATTTATGAGTTTTGTTTCATGG